AAAATAATCTGATGACTTTATGTTGAGATCTTGAAGTAAAATTTGATGTATTAATATTTTGAGAACAGTATCTTCCTGCTGACTGTACTACTGAATGTTACATAGCTTTCACTTCTCAAAATACAGAATCATAATATGTTCAAAATAAAAATCTAGAATTTTTAAAAATCCTATTACCTGAAATCATGAGCCATTTTCAGTGTTGAAATTCCAGTTATGTTATATGGAGCTACATGTCACGTGGTCCTGAAATATGAAGACCAGACTTATGAAGTCCATGAACATTCTCTGAACGTCTGCACCATTTTATAATATTTTTGACAGTTTGTCTAGTACTTTGCTTTCTTGGTGTTCTGTTGCAATGCTTTTATTTTAATATCAGCATCAATTGAATATTGCAAATGATCATACTATATCATTAGGTGAGTAAAGTGCAGGATTCCAGTCGAAAAACTATTTTTGCCTCCAGAGAAGTTGAAAAGAAAAGACATAACCTTTAATGACTTTTTTATTTTGGCAATTGCCACTTTAAGGGACATTTTTGTAAGTAGAGAAAATTATCCAATAGATGGTTTTCATTTAAACAGTTGAAATTGTGATAAGATTGTTTTGGAGAAATTGCTTTTTTCCTCATAGACTTTTGTTTAAGCTGTTTCTTGGAGTGCTTGATATAGAGTACTTAAAATTTGGCCCAGAAAAGATGCATTTGTTCGCTGCTCTCCAGTGTGTGCTCTCTGGAATACTCATATTACTAAACCTCGTCTGGATTCATGTGTCAGTGCACCTCGCCTCCCTTCCCACCAAATGCCATATTGCTCATTAGTGTCTCAGAGTTCTGATAACTTCTACAGCAAAGTAATCTGAATCTTTCTTACCCTAGTGCTTTCCAAATTTATTTAGTGAAAGAATACAAGTTAAAACACTCTGGGACTCTTATTTCATGGGCAAGAGCAGCTAAAATATGTTAGCTACCATGAAATTCTTATCTAATGAACAAAGAGATTTTTCCTTTTATAAATTCTCAGTTGACATTTTGATGTTTTTTCTAGCATCCTAAATTATTCACCTCTTAGAAGTGGACAGGTGAATGGCAACTGGCTACATATGAAGCAATGTATTTTAGAACATAATTTTAAAAGCTAGCTTATTGGCAATTAGCCAGTACCATTTTGGAGGCAGAAAATAAAACATGCATTTCACCTTGGGGTTCTATGGAAATTCACTGAAATTGGGGATGGTAATGCATTGTGCAGCATTTAATACAACTGTCCAATGGGGGAGAGACTACAGTTATTTGCAACACATAATTTTCTGGGGTTGCAAGGCTCTTTAAATGCTGAACTCTCTTCCTCACATCCTATCACTCAATGAAACTTGAACTTTGCAGCTCTTCCACCTCCATTTTCTCATAATCAACACAGGATGTCATTTTCTATCTTCATGCCCCTGCTTAAGCTTTTCCCTCTCCTTTAAATGCCATTTCTTTTACGTCTCAGGCACCACATATCAAAATCCTGCCCTACCTTCAAATGACCCTGCCTCTCTCCTAGGATTACTCATTTTCTCCACAATGACAACTATTTTCTAGCCTCCTGCAAGGCAATCCCAAAAATTTTTCCGTTCTCTTATGTTTCGTCTGGTCTTGATTTGCCTGTTTGCCATTATACATTCTATGAAATACTGTTATTTGGGAAGATGGATAGTATTCCACCAACATTTTCATAAGCAGAGTCCACAATTTGCTTATAGTTAATAATGACATGCTAGAGGCGACACACAAAATTCAATGTGGCAACTTAAAAACTGGCCTAGACAATTGTTTTTATATTAGAAGAGTAACTCACAGGACATTATATTCTGGGTTTTTCTTCATTAGCTTATTTATTTAATAAAATAATTTATACCCAGTCTATGTTACATGTAGGTGGGGACCTCTTACCTTGCTTTCCTCCATCCAATCCATCCACGTTCCTTTTTTCTTTCCCTCTTTCTCCCCCCTTGTTTTTCTTTCTTTCTGTTCTATGGATAGAACCGAGTGCCTTCACTTGGACCTGCGTCCCAGCACTCTCCTCCCAATTTTGTTATTTACTAATTTATTTCTCTGTTTATTTATTTTTTAAATATGTCACTAAGTTGCTCAGGTTGGATTTAACTTGAGAGCCTTTTGCCTCAGCCTCCCAGAGTGCCACCAAACCTGGCTGGAAAGAATTTCTTTAGGACTTGGACATTTTTTATTTTTTTCTTATTATTTCTTGGTTCTAGGTACTTTTTTGGACTGGGGATCAAACACAGGACCTTACACTTTCCAGTCAGGTCTAGGCATTATTTTGGTTGGTTAATTAAAAAAAAAAGGCCTTACAATTAATACATATTCAATATTCATTCTCTTTCCCTATGGATATGCTACTTTTATAAAGTTCTACATTAGATATCTTTTTGTAAGCCTCTTTACTGAAATAATTTAGGCTACAAAAATATCTCAAAAAGGGTGCAGAAACTTATAGTTTTCAACCACTTTTCACAAGTGTCAATTTTATATACTAAGGTACTATGATGAATTAGGAGATTAAATCAATTTTAGTAAAAATCTAGAGACTGTTCAAGTTTCTTCAGTTGCCTCAGTAAAATCTTCCATTTTTATGTTCGCAGTCCAAACCAGGATCCAAAAATGCATTCACTTTAGTGTTCTCCAATGTGACATCACCTTGTCCTTTCTTTGTACATCATGAACGTGGTACTATGTAGTCCTAGCTAATAATTTTGTGGAATATCAGTTTTAGGTTGTTTGATATGTAAATCATCATTACATTCTTTGAAAAATATATTCATGGTCTTTAAGAATATTTGTGAGTATTGTTTGTGTAAAAATTATTTATTTTTCCAAATACTTTGTTGAATCGTATCACTATATTCCATGTAGGAATAAAGCATAGTTTTGGACTTTTTTAAAAAAGAAGAAAATACGCTACTTTTCCACTTCGTGTTTTTTCCTATAATATTTTTGGAATATTTATGATAAGATTTTCTTGCAAAGCTGAATAAGCTACTTGCACTATGAGAATAAATATTTTACAAAATAAATTTTAAAATATGAATATCCTTCTAAAACCACACACACTGTATTTTTTCCTTTCTTAGTATTCAGTAGGCAGGCAGCTAACATAAGACTTTATATGATATTTAATTTTAAAATCATCTTTTAATTGCCCTAACTAGAAAATCTCAAGCTTCATTGATATTTCTTTTCAATGAATATCACCGAGAAACCAAATTAAAATAGGCTACTTAGAAATCAATAGGTTGAACATTCTTTAATGGATTTTCCTTCCTCCTGTCCGCTCTGTGATGCGCTTCCTCTCTGGACAGCTTGCTGAGTCTTCTCCCCTCAGGAGTAGATGCAGATCCCAGGGCCTGGTACGTGCTGCTAAATGCTGCACTGCTGATGTTGCTGTTTCTCCAGTTTCCTCATTCACTTTGACCATTTTCTGCCTTGAGTAGTTTACCCTACCCAACCTATCATCTGGGTTTTCTACCCATTAGCTTATCTATGCTTTTCCTTCAAATATAGATCTTGACTTGCTACTAGCTAATCCTACTAATTATGTACCACATTAGAAATCGTTGGCCACTCTTCTTGTGATGGGAATTTTTCTCTTCATATTTGAATTTCACTTTCTAGGTTCTCTGATACTTCCTTTAGTGTTTCTTCTCACTGTCATCTTCTCTAACACATACATTTTGCTGTGTCCCATCTCAAGCATCCCAAAGCTTCAGTTTATCACCTTCATGCAGGTGCCTCAGGCTTACCTTCTGATTTTGGTGTCCATTCCAAATTTCTCTTGTGTATTAAGCCACCAAACTAAAGCCAATTGCTTTACTTGTACACAGGAGATTCTTACTGTTTCTAGTCCCATTCCTTTATTTGGAACTGAGGTTTCAGCCCTTGAGGAGGCTCTGTCTTACTCTCTTGTCCTCTGCCAGCTAACTCATGCGCTTTTCTTTATCTGGGTTCTTCTGTTTCTCCACATATGAACATATTGTCTCTTCATTTATGTGTGAATCATCTCTAGTTTAGTAATATCTACCCTTTAAACTCAAAAACAATAAAAATATTCTCATGTTTGTGATTAATATCAGTTACAGACATATCTGTATTGCTTTCCTCATTGGTTTCAAATAATTCAAGTAATTTTCATGGTTCTCATCCACTAATCCAGGGTCTGATTCTATACTGATATGTGAATTGCCTGGAAGTGAATAACTCCTTGATCATTGTTGTTGTATTTTGTTTATTCTTTCCTGCAAGCAACATATACCTCCCAGGGATGAGGATGCCACACTATAACACAAAAATCAAGAGCATTCTTTCCTCAATTCATTCACTTATAAAATATGAGTGGGAAAAAAACAGAATGAGCCTGTGCATTTGTTAGTCACTGAAAGCAATAAGCAGGACAATAACTTGAACAAAATTGTTTTATCACATCAAAGATGCTGAGGATGAAAACAAAACTACTTATACATGTTTGCAATTTTCCTATTGCTCTCTTAGTAATTAGATCATGTATCTGTTCTGATATTTCAATTTTGAAACAATGATGTTCATTAAATTTATCTAATTAGGACCTCTTTGCACCCTAAATAGGTTTTTTAAAAAACTCATCAGTACCAACTCCCAGATGTTATCTTCAATGACAAAGACTAAACACAAATTTAAAACTTTTCAAAAGTTAGTGTGTGCATTTTGATTTTTTGACAGTATTCAATAATAAGTCACTTAGAGACAATCTGTCTAACTTGCTATTTGTATATCTAAATCTCCTAATAAGTATTGGAAAAAGCTAAGGGATTGATAATTTTCTGAGGAGAATACTTGTATATGGAAACATAAAAGTAGTCTCTGACAATCTAAAATACTTTCAGGAACTCCTTCTGAGATGAAGAAAGCTCCCAATGTGGAGACTTGAACAAGGAACAGAATGAAATGTGTATGGTAAGTAACTTGCTAATAATCCAGTATGATAAAGTTTCTAGTGTTCTGTTATGTAATTATCATTTATAAGTCACATACATATGAAATTACATACATTTGAAATGCACACTCATGGTAATCACTGATGCTCGAATTTCTGAACCAAAAGCAATTGAATCAAAACATATTTATTCCTGTAAACTTATTTTGATATACTTCATGTGAAAAACTAGCTTTCAAACATGGCAGATGCTTTTTATGCTGATTTTTAATTAGGAAGAATTCAAGTTAGCTTCCATGATTAGTATATATGCATTTGTGCTCCTACAAATATGGAGTTTATTAAGATGATATTTAGGATTGTAATTCTGGCTTTAAGAGCAAGCTAAGATTTTATGTAGTCTCTTAAAATTTAGTTATTACTTTAGTCTTTTTAAATTCCTTTATAGACATGCAACACTTTGGCAAATATAACTTGATGTTAAAAGATCTTTTAAATTGTTCACAAAAGCAAGTTAAATTTTACATAGAGCATAAGGGTCATTAGTATTCTGAGTCATTTTCTTTTCTTTCTTTCTGTGTTTACTACAGTGAATATGAGAAATATACATGTATATACATATATGAGAGAACTTTCTGTAGAGTTTCCTCCAGAATGAGTGATAAGGATGGAGAAAGCAATAGAAAAGTGAGGACAGGCAGACACAGTCACTTGTGGTGCCTGAATAATGGCACATTGTATTCTGCCCTTGTCCACTACGTTCTCATCCTATCAACTGTTCAGGAAAATGCTACATTTCTTGGTATCACTGTTCTTCACTATTTCTACTGTCAAATTTCAGAAACTATTAGTAGGTCTCACATTGTTAGGACTTTAGGCTGGAAGCCCTTATACTAAGGTTAGAGTATAAGGTGTGTATGCAGTAATCAGTAATCTCTTTGGATTACATGCAGCACATGCTATGTGAATATTGTTTTTCTTCTGGGCACAATATAGTCAATGGGTCTTACATTTTTTCAACACAAGTTTTCAAGTTTAGAACTGATATGATTATGAAGATTTTGAAGGAATTGTGAACTTTCAGTATATTTATCTTCATTGATATTCCAGATGGTGTCAGATGTAAAAACTGAATTTTGTGAGCCCTTTTAAATTTAAAATGTTTTGCAGAAGAATACAATCTATTCAAAACAATTTTATTGGTACTTTCCCTTTGATCATTCACTAAATCTTAAACTGAATTAGTCATTCTTGCCAATAAAAGTATTTATAAAAGTCCATTTACATTGGTTTTATGGTCACTTTATACACTGTTAAAGTGAATTATTGTTCTTGAACTAAATGTGTATTTTTAAATATTTGGCTAATATCAACTCTGTTTTATGAAAATAGATCTCTTTTGATACTCTCCAAGGATTTGTTTTTGTTTGCTTTTGGTTGCAGTTATCAGTAGATGAAATAGTTCTCATGTAATCATGCTCTTTTTTTGTTGTTGTTAACTAGTGGTTACTCTAAAAATGTCTTGTTCTGCGTAATATCCCCATCCTTTCTCATGTGGATACATTGCTTCTCACTTATGAAGGTGCTTAATCTTTGTTTTCCAGTAGCATATTTTTTCACTTTAACAAAGATTCTCATTATGCCATATCTATAGCAACTAATAAATAATCTGTGTCTTTTTCACTAATATACCAGCTATAGAGAAGTTGCCGGGTTATTTTGGCAATTCATTTGGCTGGCAGAGGAGAATGTGATCCTTTTTTTAATAATCCAAAAACAACTTCACATTTCCATTTGATGGTGAACGTGTTTCCCACCTAAAAGATAGCCAGGACCCATTAGCTTTATTCGTGGTGCTAGAAGCAGTATTTTTTATAACTTTTTCTCTCCTAGTGACTCACTTTTCCAAAAGAAACAGTTGAAATTTAGTAAGATGAACATAGAAGGCCAAAAGCTGTCCTGAGCTGTAGACTTATTTCTCAGCCAGATGCTTGTCTTTCTCCCCAGCTGCAAACTTTCTCTGTACACAGGGGTCTCTTTAGTGCCAAGGTGGATAAGAAAAAAGAGCTAGAAATATAGTTGCTGTTGCACGGTTGACCCCTCTCACTCAAACTCCAGCAAGTTTTGTTTTTCCTTAGAATCCTCAGAGGAATGCTTTGCCTAACCACCCATCCGACCGCCTGCAATTTACTTTTAACATGTTAAGTTAATAGTTCTTGAACATAAACTTTTGGCGGGAGTAACTGAAAATTTAAGTTTGTTAAACTTTTACATACTTCACTGTAGTCCACAGGGTATTTTAAACACAGCCATTTGGCTTCAGATCTAATTCATACCCCCAAAATATATAATATGAAAAGTCTGAGAAGTAATGCATAAAGTACCTTTCCAAGTTCTTAAGATCTTATTTCTGCCAGGTAATCAAGAACAAATACACAATATTTCCATCATTAAACATGCTAGACGTGTAGACATAGCATGAGTTGCTAAAACAATTTAGAGTTGTAGTAATAGGCAAGAATTTAAGTCTCTAATTACTTTGTGTGTGTGTGTGTGTGTGTGTGTGTGTGTGTGTGTGTGTGTGAGAAAGTGCAGGTTTTAGAGACGATAAGGCAATATAGAATAGATAAATGACTTAGGTGACACCGTCTCCTGTGGAATACTATGGAGTGTTAGTTCAGTAATTTTAAAAGATTATGAAAAGGCCATCTGTTCTAACTTAGAAACTGATGTTAATATATGGTTCTTTTTAAATCAAGTAAACTAAGTTAGAGCATAATGTGTATACTAAGATACCTTCTTAATGCAAGCAATAAACAAGGAAAAGGATCAAGGGACAGACAGGTGTCAAGGGAAGGGAGGGAAGAAAAGGTGATACAAAAAGAATTAAGACATCTACATGTACAAACTTCCACAAGACATCTAATATTACTTACTGTACACATGCATTAATAAATTAAGAAACATTTAGGTTTTCATGTTTCTGTATGGATATACATACAATGACATATAGCTATACATGTAGTATGCATATATACGTATATATATATATATGTTTATAGATGTATAGTACACTGTACGAGTACAAAGAAAGTAAATTTCTCATTATCTCTGAAAGTAGAAATGAAATAGGAAGTTAAAGTGAGGGCTGCTGGTCAGAGGCTAAATTCAAAAGTGTCACTCGTCTGAGGTCGGTCACTGGGACGTGACTGGAAGGGTGCTTGTTCCTCCTTTCTGGTTGCCATGGGTGAACACCTTTTTTTCTACTGTATTTTTCTGGTATCCTCTTTCTGCCTTCTAGCCAACTGACTATGGACTGAAACTGTGAGCTAAAATAAATCTGTACTCCTATACAGAGAAAAATAACTGTGTCAATCAAATTTAAGCCACATGTACATGTATCTATAGAAATATTTAGTGTGTTTGTTTCAAAAGCATTACAAGTAAGTATGTATTTGTTCATGCAGAGAGTTTCTTGCAAATACACTCAGGTTATTAATGACATCAGATGAACAGAATAATAGTGAAATGAATGAAAAAGAACTTACTTTTTACTTTATGTATTTCTGTCTTCAGGAAAATGTCACTTTTTAAAACATTCTATTGCAGTATTTATTGAACAAGTGTTTAAATGTTTTCCCTGAATGGTCTGATACTTGGTGGTATTCCACTTAACAGCATTTATTGGAATGCCCTCAACAATTTATTCAATAAATGGTAAAATAATATTGGGTTTGAGCTTTACTTTTAGATCAAGCAAAGCCACATTTTGATAAGAAGCTATGTTATATTTTTAATCTCATTATTTTATGGTATTTGGGGTGACTCATGTTTCCTTTTCACCTACTGGTTAGCACGCCCAAACACAGTGTTCCTCCTCAGTTTTTATTTGGTCAGTTCATCATTTTACTAATAGGCACACCATGGACAGGACTGGCAGAGTTTGACAGTGATCCCCATACTTCTGTTATAGACCATGTCTTGGACAAAAGAACCTGGAATTGGCTTTACTTTTTCTAGTTTCTCCCAGCTACAATATCTGACTCAGCAGCCTTTTTCCAGGTTGATCCAAGATACCTTGAGCACGGCTTCTGTGTTTGACAATCTTGCAACATTAGACCGTTCCCTCCCACTGATCCCATACCTTCCCCTGAGACTAAGCTTGACAGCATCACTAGCCATGTATAGCATGGCTAGAGCATAAACATTCTTTTATGTGCTCATTATGTAACCTTTAAACACAATTTATATGTGATCCTGGACTAGTTTCTTAAATTCTGACAGCCTTAATTTTCAAATGTATTTAAAACCTCATGTCTTCAGGGGGTCGATTCTAGGGCCCCTTTCAGATGGGAAAAGCCATATCAGCTCAATTCCTTCATGTGAAATGGAGACTACAAATCATCTCTAGAATGCTTATATTACCTAATGCGATGTAAGTGCTGTGTAAATAGTTGTTATGCTGTATTGCTTAGGGAATAATGACAAGAAAACAGTCAGTATGTATAGTAATATGTATGGCATATAGCAGCACAATTTATAATAGCCAGATCTTGAAAACAGCATATATGTTCATCAACAGAGGAATGGATAAGGGAATTGTAATATTTACACACAATCTGGAACAGCTATGCCATAAAGAAAGAAGAATTTGAGGCAGTGATAGGTAAATGAATGTGAATTGAGAGCATAATGTTAAAGGAAATAAATCAGAAGTTTACATGCTACAGGTTTTCTCTTACATGAGAATCTCTCTCTCTCTCTTAATGTGCCAATAAAGTGTTTAATTTAATCATACTCCATTTGTTGTTTTTACCAGTGTTTATTGTACATTTTAGTAAACTTTAAATTTTAGTCAATTTTATATACACAATTATTACAAATGATTACAATATAAAATTATTATAGTACCAGAGTTCTTGTATATTCCACACTTACTTTCTCATCACATTATCATATCTGTCACAATGAATGAAATAAGCAATGCATTATTACAAATTAAAGGCTATATTTTATTAAGATTTTTCTCAGTCCCCTTTTCTTGTCCAGGATCCCACTTGAGACACCTCATTCCAGTTAATGGTCATGTTTTCTTAGCCTATTATTTGTTATGACACTTTTTAGACTTTAGTTCTAATGACCTTGATTTATTTGGAATATACTGAGCAGTTGTTTTATAGAATAGCTCTCAATTGAAACTTCTCTGATATTTTTATCATACCTACCTTGAACTGTTGCAATTTTGGAAGAAACACTGCAATAATTTTATTCATTTTTATCTCCCTCTTTTAATACTGCCCCTTTGAAAGAAAGCCTTTGCTTAGCCCACACTTGAAGAAAGAGATGCATTGCCCTCCCTTCTTGAATGTTATGTTTATAGACTATTCGAAATAATTATGCATGAGCTAATTATTTATTCTGTATCTTACTTATTTGTCTAATCATTTATTTACATCAGAGTAGACACATGGATATTATTTTGTTTTATATTATAATTCAGTACTACTTTATATTGTTCAAATGTATTTATGTTGCTCAGATTTAGCCACTGGGACCTATTTGAATTGCCACCTATAATCATGTGACATAGCCTACCAATTTACTTTCTTTTGTATTTAGGCACCTACTTTTTGTGCTGTAAGATACCCTAAACTCGTCTTATGCATTCTTATTGTGTAATCAAGTATTTCTTTAAGGAGTCTCGGTTATGTTGTTTTGTTGTTACTGTTGGAGACTGGCAGTAGAAACTAAGAGCTGGGTGCTAGGTGTGCTCATTGCTAATGTGGTGTCTCTGCTTTGAGGGTGACTCAAATGAGAGAAAAAGAAAATATATTTATCTTTTCTTGACTTTAAAAATTAACACACTGGGTATTGAACCTAGGGCCTCTTGCATACTTGCTAAGCACTCAAGGACTACTACATTACTAGCTGTTAACAATTATTTTTATTGTTGTTGCTGTTAGTTTGAGGTATGGCATCACTAAGATGTCTAAGCTGTGCTCAGATTTGGGATCCTCATGCCTCAGCCTTCTAGGGTTAAAGGTATGCATCATTTTGACTGAGCTTCCTTGATTTTTTAAATCAGTGTTTTGTCGTTTTCTGTATGTACATGATATGTGTATTCTATTTATATCTAAAGATTTTATTTTTAATAGTGTTATAAAAGATTTTAAAAATTCAAGTGCTATTTGCTCTTAATGAAGAAAACAATTGACTTTTAAATACTGACCTTGTATCCCAGAACTCAGCTAAACCTGCTTTTGTGGGTTTTTTTTTGTTTGTTTGTTTGTTTGTTTTTGGTAATTTTTGGCATTTTCTATATAGACAATCGTGTTGTCTATGAAGAGAAACAGCTTTATATATTCCTTTCTAATATTATGTTTTAGTTACTTTTCTTGTCTTATTGCATTAGCTACATGATGCTGAGTAAAGATTAGGTACAGGGCACATCTTTGTCTTATTCTTATGTCAGGGAAGACAGTTGTATTTTGTCAAATACTGTACTTTCTGCATCAAATATTATGATCAAGTGATTTTTCCATTGTGTATTATGGTGGATTATATTGATTTTTCAAATGTTAAACCAGAATAATATAATGAATATAATGAATATCACCTGGTTTTATTGTATAATTGCTTTATATGTTGTTGCATTTCACTTGCAAATGTTTCACTGAGATTTTTGTGTTTAAAAAAAAATGCTGGTCTATCAATTTTGTTTCTTGTAATACCCTTTTCTAGATTTGGCATAAAAGTAAGACTGGGTTCATGGAACAAGGAATTGTATTTGTGCTTTTATTATTTTGGACCGAAATGTAGACAGCAGATATGAAGTTTTTACACCTGTGAAGCCTTTGAGACGGGAAGATTAATAATAATTAATTCTACTAATTTATAGATATAGATATTTATATGATGTATTTCTCCTATGTATGTTCAAATTGTTAGTTCTTATGAAATTATAAAATATATTTTATCAGATATATAATTATCTTCAGGAAATCAGATTTATAGATCTGGAGAATGGAGTGACAAAGAAAATGGTTCAAACATGCTCGTATTAGGAATATAATCTTTTAAATATTTTAATCTGAGTTAATAGGAATAAATATTCTCTTTTTATTAGTGAGTGTATGTTGAAAATATTGTTTTTTGACAGTTCTATATTTTAATTGTCTGCATATGATCTTTGTAAAAATATTTCTTTAGTCATTTAAGATTATTTTTCTTATAGTAATTTGAACTATTAATCCTATTCAACTTATATTTAACATTTATTTGAAATCATTTCTGTTTTTTGTATCTCACTAAAAAAGTTATTTAAAATATCTCACCAATTAATGTGTTCAAATTACTTTTATTATTAGCATACCTTCTTTAAAGAAAGAAACTACTGTAGTATGTTTTGGAGTAAGATGCAAGATACTGGTTTTACATGCAAGATAGTGTTTTAGATTTTATTTTAAAATGTTATAATTTCAAGATATGGTGGTCTTTTGGTATAAACTAGCATGAGTAATAATACAAATACTAAAAGAAGCTAAAAATCATAATTTTACACAATTACATATGACAAAAATATGGCATTTTCATGATGGTACCTTTTCACAGCAATGTATTTATTGGCAGTATTTGAGGTGTGTAATGCTTATCAATATTGTCCTACAATTCCAACACATTCACAAAATCACTGGACACTCATGTGTCAATATTCTAAAGTGCCCAACAAACACTATTCATTCTCTTTAAAATTGGTGATTTTGTTCTCAATTTGTTTTCTATGTCAGAAGCAGAGAATAGGAGATTAGGAAAAAATATCACAGCAATATTTAATTCAGTGCCCTACCCAAGGTAACATTAAATGAATTGAGGAAATGGGTAAATCAAAGAGGAATGAATAAGTGCTCATGTGCACACATCAGTTAGTGGGAACTGTTGCAAGGTAAAATATCTTCTAAAGTGATAATTTCAGTTAACTTCTTTATTTCTTCAGGAGAGTTGTATTCATTTGCTATTGGACTATTTTATTCTTTCTCACTGTATTAATTTTACATGTAAATGTCACTGACTCTTACAAAAAGCAATACTCTGCACTGCATCTGGTTTGCAAATTGTGCATATATCAAAACAATCATGAAAAATAAAACTTTTCTACCATTTTGAGTATCTTAAATAAAAAAGTAATTCCATGATTATTTCAAAGTATATGCATATGAACTTCAGACACCTCAAATACAATATTCCTGTTTAGAATATGGAAATGGCTAGTATTATGGAAGAATTGTGTGATATTTTCCTTTTATTCTTAATATAACATGTGTCCTTTATTTAACGGAATAAATTGCATTTCCTTCATAAGTTACATGTGCTCTTGGACAACCTCCAATATTTAAGTATAAAAATAGTTGAGTATAGAAATGAATTCTGTTCTGATAGGACACCCTCTTACCTCTTTTAATTTAGTCAGTGTATAGGTTTATTGCTGTTATGGTTGTCATAGTCCTATAGCTGGGACAAAATGTCTAATACTCACAACTTAAAGAAAGAAACTTACTTTGCCTCACAATTTTAGAGTCTATGCCTGACTGGGTCCATAGCAGAAGCAGTAGAAAGGTCATGGGAGCGGGATTTGGGGCACTATATCTGGTCCCTGGACTCTTCTGGCACTCTTGTCCTGCTCTGTGCTACTTGGTTCTGTAAAGCGGGCTACTTTGCCCCTCTCTTCTCTTCTGCCATAGTTTTTCTATTTTGGTGTCAGCTAACAAGCCAAAAGGCAGAGTGCAGAAAAGGTACTCAATCTTGACAACCAGAAGGTAGAGGAAGAAAGGAAGAACTGGGGCCAAGGACATACACTTCACTCACACCCCCAAAAGACCCACCTCATCCAATCAAGCTTCACTCCTACTAGACCTTCAGTTAGGGACTCATCAATGCATTAATCACTGATGAGTTCTAGTCCCCACAGTCCAGTCACCCTCTGAAAGCCCCATCTGAACACATGGGACTTTGAGGAAACATTTTATAATTACTCTGTAGCAATTATACATGTCAAACCTTGTGTATTAGGTGGTTTAAACAGAAACTTATTTTCTCATAATTCTGGTGGCTTGCAGTCCAGGATGAAGCTGTTTTCAGAGTTGGCTTCTTCTGAACCCTCTCCATATTTTACAGACAGACGTTTGTTCCATCTTGTCACACATGGTCCTTCCTCTGTGTGTTTTCCTTGTCTCCCTATTTTATAACAATACCAGACATATTGGATTTTAACTTACTTTCCTCTTTATATATACCCTATGTCCATATACAATCACATTAATAGGTCCTGAGAGAGAGAACTTCAACATTTGGATTTTGGAGAGGACACACTTTGGCCTGTAACATTCACATCAACAGGCTAGGATTTTTCATTATAAGACAGGGAAATAGTATAAAGGAATTATGTTCAGTTTCTGTGGCTACTGAGAAATACCTGACATGCACACCTTAAAAGAGGAGAGGTTTATTTTGAGTCACATTTTCAGAGGTGTCCATCCACTGTTGCCTGACTCCAAGGTAGAAATGTCCTATCAGAAAGGCATAGAGGACCAAAAGAGTTTACATCATGGCAGCCAGGAAGCAGAGAGCAGGAAAAGAATGACAAAGAGAAACATATTTATTCAGGAAGCAGATACAGTCCCCAAAGCCATTCTCCCTAGACTTATTTCTTTCAACTAGGCCTACTAAGTCTCCTACTAAGACCTACTAAGTCTCCATTATCTGCTAATAATGCACTCAAATTATGATATCATCAGTGGATGAATCCATGAATGAATATCCATGGATGAGGTTAGAGCCTTTACAATCCAATCATCTCTGGAAAAGCCCACAAACACACCCAGAAGCATGGCTTACTAATTTTCATAGGTGTTTCTCAATCTGGTTAAGTTGACAGTCAACTTAATCATCATAGGAAATAATGACTGAGTTCAACAAAAGTTATTACAGGACTGTTATTCTAGAGCTAAGCTAATGCAGATAGTTATAGCAATAGCGGGTAACAGTGGATGATTATTTACGAGATTATAATAGAGTTTTTAGAGAAGCTAGCTGAATATTTTCTTGAAGTGGAATAAAAGTGAAGAAAAGAAATCTCTTCTCAGCATTTTATATGATGTCTGAACATCAAGCCACATATTGCTCTCTATGAAGGTAGATTCAGTAAGAATAAATTATATTTTACTATAAAATTACAATTTACGTAATTTAGACCTCTAGTTTCTAAGGTTAAAAGACAATACAACACACTCCTCATTTGGGCCTGGTGAAAAACCAAATAAACTACTTAAAGCAGAAGAGACAACTTTCTGCATGGCTGAGCTATTAGAGTACTTCAGTAACACTGCAATTTGGCTTCTCAAAGCCAGATTGAATTTAGCTTTGTCAAAAATGTACAAGTCTGGTCCTGGTAAAACAACAGAAATTTAAATCTCCAAATAAAAAGATGGTGGTTTTCTTTGCCATTACTTTCCAATAAATAGAGTTAGAAATGTTGGTTTATAGTCCAAGTCATTGTACTCCTCACTCATCATCTCCGCTTACCACTTGTAGAAGAAAGCACCATTTGGCATTTATCTCTTGTGCAATAAGATTCTAAGTATCAGATCTTTCCCTTTTATTACAATCAGATAATATTAATTTTTACCTCGGTTGTACTTCCTCTGAATTCTTTTCGTTTCTCTTAGGCTTTATACTATTAGCGGACATGTTTTAATATTTTACAGTGCAAACGTGATTTCTGCACTCAGCCTAGTAACCGAGTAAGCTTCTCATTGAGGCAAGGTCTGTTGGGTTTCTTGGTGTCTTTTCATCTCAGGAAAACAGTGTTCTTGTGTGCTTTGGTGTTTCTTCTGGAGAAATTTTGCAGAACACAAGGGAGTCTGCACTAACATCTAGGATGAGGGGATATCAACTTGCCATCTTCAGTTTTGGGATGTCAATTTTGCATCTTATTTTGGTGGAAAATGGTGAATTGCAATGAGTGGATATCCTCTTGGTTCATAGTGTTGATTTAGGAGCCTTGTTATTGCTATACACAGGCTATTTTAATGTTAATCTAAACACATCAGAAAAGTTTAGGATAGAAATGTCTAATTCCAAATTTCCTCCACAAAAAAATATCATTCTTCACCTTGTCGTTGATTTCTTTTGCTGTGCAAAAGCTTGTTAAGATGAGCTCCCAGTTGTTGATTCTTTGAAGTACCTCTCCTGCAGTCTGCGTTTTGTTCATGAACTCTCTACCTACACCTATGTCTTCAAAATTTCTACCTACGTTCTCTTCCAGTAGATTTAGTGTTTGTATTTTAATATCCAGATCTTTGATCCATTTTGAATTTAGCTTAGAGCATGTTGACAGATGTGGGTCTAATTTTAGTCTTAAGCGTGTAGAGAGTCAGTTTTTCCTGTATTTATTAAAGAGTCTGTCTTTCTTCCAGTGAACAGATTTGGCCCCTTTGTCAAAGATGGAAGTGACTGACTGTGTTCATAGTTGTGACTACATCGTCTAATCTGTTCCACTGGTTTGCAAGTCTGTTGATTTTACCAGTACTGTGCTGATTTTAATCACAGTAGCTTTACAACCGACTGATGAGAAAAAAATTATCCAATTGTCCCTCAAACAAAGGACTTCTATCTAGAACATATAAAGAGTTTAAAAAAAAAATCACATTCCCAAACTCAAAGACCCAATCCAAAAATGGGTATCTGGGATAAATATACACTTCTCAGATGAGGATATATAAATGGCAAATAATCATTGGTCATTCAAGAAAAAGATCATTGGTCGTTCAAGAAATGCAAACTAAAACACAATGAGATTCCATCTTACCCCCACCAAAATTGGCTATCATCAAGAAATCAACCAATAACAAATCTTGGAGAGATTGTGGGGAAAAAGATGCACTTCTCCAATGGTGGTGGAAGTATAGACCAGTAAAGCCACTGTGGAAATCAGTGTGGAGATTCCTTAAAAACTAGGATTAGAGGTCCTATTCCAACCAACTATTCTCCTTCTGGGCATATTTCCCGAAAACTTAAAAATATTATACCCCTGTATGCAGCACAAGTTGTAATAGTTAAATCTTGGAAGCAACTCCATTGCCCATCAACTGAGAAATGGATTAAAAGGTTGTGATATTTTTATGCAATGGAGTACTACTCTGTCATAAAGAAGGATAGCCTTGAGAATTTTATAGGTAAGGGGTGCAAGTTTGGACTATACTCATACGGAAATAAATCAGACTTACATATGTAAACAAGTTATTGTCTCCCTGATGTGAGAAACAGAGAATAAATAAATTCTAAAATGTATAGTAGATATTGTGACATGGGAAGAAATTGTTCAAAAGGAAAAAGAAAGTAGGTTAGATAAAAGGGGAAAGGACAGTATAGAAAAGAGGAAAAAAGTCAATTGGACTATTAGTATCTTTTAGATCATTAAAAAAGGAAAGTTTTGCACTATTATCAATTGGAGTAATTTTTATGCCCATATCTTTTACCCTGAGCAACTATTTTAAATATAATAACATGTAACATAGTAACTACTGTTAGCATCCTATTATTTTGTATGAAATTGTGTTTTACCTTTCTTCCATAAAATAAAGAAAAATCATCCTTCTTTTAAATGACTATAAAATTACTCTCCAGGGACCCTATCCAAAAGCTAAACAGCAGATCAGCCCCTCTTTATCACGAGGAATAGGGTTAAAATTCTGTTTCCAATGACAACTCTCACCCCCAGAACAGATTTCAGCCAGGCAGTTAGCAAAGCTGGTGGGTGAACTACACAGGCCGTGGTGGGTGCACAGCTCAGAGCCGGAAAGCAAACAGCTGCTATAGCCTGATTTGAGTTAAAATAGTGTGAGTGTTTAGTCTGGCGCAGGGCTTCAGGGGAGATTGGCAGCTGGGTCAAACAAAGTCCTTCCATTGGCTCCCTTCCCAGGCAGCTTCTGCTAGTATTTAGTAGGTACTAGTGCAGTGCAGGGCCCTTTTCTCAGGCAAAACCTAACATCTGACCGCACCCTCTGCTATTTCAAGAAAAGGAGAGGGGGAAAAAAGGCTTCATTTTCCTTCTTTTCGTTATAAATTTTCTACTAGGCAACTTAGAGAATTGCGTATTAGCACTGTATTTTATCTTGAGGGCTGACGCACTGGGCTCTCGACGTGGTGTGGAAAACAGCCTGTTACAGAGCTGAATTCATAAAAGGACTTCATGGGTTGTGAAAGAATATCTGTGTGCTTAGGCAGGAAACTTTTTGATCTGCAAAAAAGCCAGAAGACATCTAGGTAAGGCTGTGTATCAAATCTACTTTGGGGGGAGAAAGTTGGGCAGTGGGACAGGTTAATCGCAGCGGGTCCGAGTGTAGAAGGTGCGTGTTCACTTCTGTGGAAGTTTAAAATGTACTAACCATTGTGTGCTTATTTTTTGTTTGTTTGTTTAAATCTTAAAGGAATTTTGTAGCCTGCATTTTTATGATTTTGTTTCCTGCTGTTGAACCGAATACAGTGCATATAGTTTTACTATATAGTGAAATCTTTGTAAACTGCCACAGAAAGAGTTATTTAGAAGGGAAATTGACAAGTTTTAAAGAGTAACTGTACAATCCTTTGAGGACAGAGGGACACTGCATTAGACTAACAAGGGTTTAATTACCAAAAAAAAAAAAAAAAAAAAAAGTTTAATGTTGCTTTGGAAGGAATATTAAGTAAGTTGTCTTTGTCTCTTACTTTTTAATTTTAGTCGCTGATTTAGCCTGTTGGGTCACATTTTTTGTTAGTGCTGAAGGCTGCCATGAATCCGTAATGAGGCCCCTTTGCACACGATTTTGGCTCTTGGCCAAAATCAACTTCCCAGCGGCAAGCTTTCTCTAAAGAACCTGGAGCACTTTTTTTTTTCCCCCTCTCGATTAGAAATCATGTCTGAAAGCTGCCACAACCAGTTGTGTAGGCATGTCAAAATGACTTTATAGAGCAAATATGAAACAGGTATCTAAAAATGTTTTCTCATGTTTTTCTTTTATAATTGAGTTCATTGCCTATTGCCACCTAAAATAGAACAAGAGTAATCTCACAGAAGATTTACAGATTTTTTGTTTTTCTTGGCAAATCAGAGTAGGGGTGATCACCTTATTGAGAAGTATACAGTGCGAAAAGCTTTCTCAAAAACACTTCGGGGATAAATAACAGACGAATTCTTAAAACTTAATCTCTGTAAGTAATATTCAGTCAACAGTAAGTAATGACGTTTTTAGAAGTTTCATCATGGGCACCACTAAGCTTAACATTTTCTTAAGTGGAGTTTTTGTGTCTATTAAATATCCTGGTGCTTGGGGCTTTTAAAAAGTGTTAACGTGTGTTACATAATTTTAAAAATATTTAACACCTCAGTATTCTAAAAAATGTTTTAATAAAAATGTTTGGTATAAAAACATGCCTGATAACTTTAAATAATTGAATTTAATTGCTGTCTTGCAATAAAAAATGACTTTTCAGAGAATAAATTTTGATTGACACTGTCTAAGGCATGCACAACTAATTTTTGTGAGTATTATTAAATTTGGTATTACTACATGTGAATTTTACCCTGTAAGCCAATAAGTTATTTTATACTCTATTACTTTAAGAATTGAATTCACTACTTCAAATGAAATTGTGTAGCAATCAGACAACTTTAGCAATTAACATCTTTAGATTTCACATAGCTGTTTTCAGCGATACCTTTTAGCATTAAAAATAGGTAGGCTGCTGAATAAAAGTAGAAAAATCAAATCTTAGTTTCAGTTCTCTTACCCGAAATGTTTTTATTACTCTCCTAAATGTTTTTTGCTTTATATTTTAGTGAATAGCAGACTGAAATAAAATTTTATCTTTTACTTAAAAATAGTTATATTTCTTTTTAAAATACTGACAAAAACAAATCTATTATCTTTTAAGAGAAACCTGATTTAGAGCTGTCTTAATAGGTATTCATCAGATAGTATCTGTCACTGTTTATTCTCCCTTCAGACAGTGTACAACGTTCTCAGTTGCATCACAGCAAAAGAATAAAATGAAATATAAAGACTAGAAAATGCATCTCGATTTCCTTCAAGGCACTTAATGTATGGAATATATATTTATTTAATATTGCAGTGAGTTAATAATACTGTATACACCTTACTGTTAGCTGAACCACGGACTATTTCTGATTATCATATAAGTCAATATTAAATTTTATAGAAATTATAAAGAACAATTGACAAAATTTTACCTGAATAAGTTCTCTGTGAGTTCAAAATTGAATTCTCATTTAATGAGTTTGTTACTTAATGAAAAAAAGAAGTTGACATGGATAGCTATTTCTAAAATTTGTATAAAAGCAGAGTATTTTACTTTATTATTATCAAATAGATGAAGAAAAAATCAGACAGTTTGCCTTGTTTAGCATGATTCTTACCTTATAAATGATTTTAAATTTCAGTTTCTTTTGAATTCTTACTCTCATTCTCCTTTTATTTTTGACTGTGTAACAATTTTTGCATAGTAACTGATTGGCAAAATGTTTCTCTAAAATTTACCGAGATACGTTTTGTCTGCAAATTCTATGAATTTTTGTTGTTGTTGTTAATTAGAGGGGATGTCAAAGTAAAGTACACCAAATAGAACTTTTACAGTGCACATATATATTAATTGGTAAGTTCAAAGAAACTTAATTTCATTATTAACAAGTATTTTTGAGTTGATATAGAAATAGGTAAGCATTGGGAACAATTTAAATTATATTTTTTACTGAAATAATTAAAAATTTACTTTAAATTGCTATGGCAATGAATTATAGTTATTTCCATAGAGTAGGCCCTTTGGCAGAATTATTAGCTAATTTTCCTCGGAACACAAATGTAAGATAACTTCTATACTTCCCATGTTAACTTTAAACACAAACAATATTCAGAAAAATTACTTTTAAAAAGATAAATATTTCAGTATTTTTATTGAATTTATTTCATTTTTGAAAAATAGATCAGGTAATGTTTCATTCATTTTTTATCATTCTTTTTGGAAATATTCAAGCTGATTAACTCCATTTCACAATGTGGAAACTACTTCACTCTTTAGAAAATAATTGAAATTCACTTGTAATTGTCAGTTTAAATTATGGTCCTCTACTATTTTAAGTGTTAAGGATTTGTTTGTTTGTTTGTTTCAAGTATGCAACAGGCATATAAAACATCTTTCCAGATTAAAAGAGGCATTAAATAATTATTGATTTTGTTCTATACTTATAAATGAGCTGTTACACTGTAGTATTTTATTTATAATTTTTAATGTAAGAAATGTTTACATAGGCATTTTAGGTGAGTGTTTCATCATTTCAGTAAAATACTTTGTTCTATATGGGCTACATTCCAGCAATGAGGGAAATGCATGACTACATTAGATTGAACATCATTATTGAATTTTGGCACAACTTTAGAGACTTCATCCATAAAAAGGTTAGTATAGGCAACATGATCTTGGATTTGCAGTAACAAAAGAAGTGTAAACACCTACATCTGTTTTGGAAAAAGTATATGCTAAAGTAAAAGGTAGTGAATCTTATATAAATTACTAATACAATATTCTGTTAATAATAATTTTTGAGACATTAAAGTTTAGTTATAAATGGTATTAGATTTGTTAGACTTATCCACAGAATAAATTGGTATTTTATTAGTTGATATTTAATTATTTTATAAGGTGAACAACTATCATGATTCCAAACGTCAATCTATAATTATAGATAAAAAGCCAAATATATTTTCAGATATACTTTGGTCTAAATATGATTAATATAGAATACAAATAATAATGTTCTCTGATTTTAAGTCTCTTTCAAATAAAATGATCATTACGCTCTTGTCGAGATTTTCACTTTATATTTGTTCTGTTTTTAAATTATCATAAGTTAAATATTGAGATTTGATTTCTTTTTTAAATATGATGTTAGGGTTTATTCTACAAGTAACTTGGCCCACTATGTATTTAAACCATGACATTTTCTATGTAATTGTGCATTCTCTCGAAGTCAAGGTCTAGATCAGCAAAAGATCCTCTTATATGAGGCTCAATTTTTTTCTTCAGAATACGTTACGAACCATTTTATCTTTTTCTTCTTTGTAGGTTCAGGTGTGTTTGTAAACCTGAGCTCCTGCCTCTGTTTCAGGCAATTTGTATGCATTAATTTGGAAAGTCTGGTGGCTTGCTCAAATTTTTTATTCCATATTTAAAAAATTACAATTGCTTATTGAGTGTTAGTGAAAATGAGAATCAGTGTAAAAGATGATGTCGAATTTGATGACTTGAACAAGTTAAGATTTCTAATATTCAATATAAGTTAGTGTCCTTTAACTTGTTTCTGAAGTGACTCTGAATATGTGACTTGTTAGTATTGAAGATTTACTAATTTATAGAACAACTGGAGTGTAGTCGTTATTTAAAAATCAATATTTCCTGTTTATCACTGTCTCCACTTTTCTGTTACTGAAATGTTGTATAACATTCCTTTTTTAAAATGCCATGAGACTCAGTAGTCACAGTACCTAACGTTCCATTCCTCTCGCTGACAAGAAGCTAATACCCACATGGGGGAATGCCTGAAAATATTTCCAAATTTTGTTTCCTGTGACTATCAGCTGCTTCACTATTTGTAGAAATTTTTGAAAGGAGCAATTGTATTCTTTGGATATTTACATAAGTGTGAGGAATATACAGGCTTTCCTTGTTCTTCAGTTCAAAAGCTAAAATAGAAAATAAGATTGAGATTAATGGTGTGGTATATATTTATAGTAGCTAATTGCAACTTACTATTCTTACATAAATGATAAGTGGGGAAAATATACAGTAAGCTCTGAGATAGGTCTTCTTTACAATTCAGCAAAGAACTACAGAGTAAAGGGTAGCACAGAAGTGACATTGGTCCAGTCTGTAGAATCGGTGGCATTTAGACCTCTGCATCATTTCCCTTTTTAAAATATCTATTCTTCCTTAAAAGCTCAAATTCACTAATCCCAGATATTTTTACAAAGAAATACAAGTTATAGTAAAACATATTCATTCTTATTCCTTGGGGAGTCTGTAATGGGGTTTCTTTGGTGAAGTAATATTCTTCTATTAATAATGATTTTTTAAAAGTTTAGATGTCAATTCATTTCAGTTGCACAGATCAACATAATAATCAAGCTAATTCAAGCCTTAACAAACATAATTAGGCTTGTAATTTTGGCCTCAACTGGGAACTTTCATGAAGAAAAGAATGAACAATTGTTTAT